ATCGCTCCAGGACACATCGCTCAGCAGCAGCAAAGCCTTTGTCAAGTCGAAGGCCAAGAGGTGCTCTTTGTCCCTCTTGACGGACGTAGTTACCGGGATCTCCTTGCTCCGGTGCTTGAACTCCGACTTCCACGGTGGAGTTGGCTCGGCTTCCTGCATCGTTTGCTTGGTGCTTAACTTGGCCACAAGCTCGGCAGATGGGTCGGTTAACTGAGCTCGCTTGCCAGCTCAGCGAGACTCAGTAGGAGGCACAACCGTGGAAGCAAGGGCAATCATGGTCCCCGAACTCTGACCAACGGATAGAGTTTGAGGAACGCTCGGTAACTCGATTAATGTAGCGGTGATTAAGTTCTTGATTCGGCTCCTCTTCTTCATCTCTTCTTCCTCGGTCAACTGTATTAGGGGGACATCTGGTAAGGTTGGATTAGGGGGAGGAGAAGGAGCCTGGAGGAAGTCTGTCACCTTACTCCTACGGGGAGCCGAGTAACGATAGGTAGGGATGTAACCAAGGAGATCGTGGCAATCTCAGTGCCGATATCTCAGCACGACCCTGATTGCCTCTTCGTTGGGATACTGATAGTTGGCTTGCAATTCTTCAATAGTTGTAAAAAAGAAATAATTAGCTCGGCACAAACAATTCTGACAAAATAGATCAGTTGGGAAGATGGGCTTACAAGAAGAACTGAAGTTCTTGCTGATGTACCAACCGGGCACATCAGTTGTTTCATAGTTACTGGACACCCAGAAAAAATCATCATCGTTCATGTCCTTGTCCGGCGTGCCGGTCACTAATCATTCCCTGTCTGGCCTTATTTTCAAGTAGTAGTTGAAGCCATCTTTTGTTCGACTGAGCATGTATTGACGCAAGATCTCGGCTAGGCCCAGATTTAAACCGAGCCGGTGGTTCAACTCGGCCACACCGTTTATGATTCTGAAGGTGTTGGTGGATACTTGAGTGTGAGCTAACCCGGTACGTCTCAAGAATTCACACATGAGGGGCTGTACCAGAAAGCGCAACCCTCCCTCGACCATGCTTAATAAGGTGACGGGGCAAGACTCTAATCTGCCCTATGGATTTATGCCCTCTTCACTGAGCTCCAAGTGTACATCGGCGGGGACACCGTACTCTTCGCGAAACGCGACTAGGGCACCCGGCGTGTCTACAAGAAAGCGGTAGCGCCCCATGGAGGACCGGCTTGTTCAACTCGGCAGAATTGGTTTGATTAAGTTTTGCACGGTGGCTGCTCAGTCTTTGAGAGCCCTTGTAGTGTGTCTGGTCCCCTAGGACTCTGCAGTGAAAAACCAAGTGTAAGTGATAGCGCAGGTGCGCAAACGAGCTCGATCTTAGCTCGATCACTTCTGCTCGGTCGCTCGAGCGGACTAGATATTAGCCTGGTCAAGCAGCTCCGCGCGTTTAATATCCCGATTTTGCCCCTAGGATTTACAAATAGGAGACTTGCTCGGTCAAGGCATAATTTTGGATCAAATGGCGATTTCTAACTCGGTCAGTTCCAAACTCACACTTGTTCATAGCAGAAGATGATAAGCAGTGTGGAGGGAAAAATGGGGCAAAAACAGTTTTTGAGATCACACCCTAGACTAACTCCATTCGGAGCCTGAGGTCTGTTATCATCGTGTTTTAGACTCATCTAAGGAGGTTGAATTTAAAGGCGTGACAAGCCTAGAAAACGTGAAGAACAACATGAATGAGAAAGGGAATTCAAAGAACTTACGAGTTTGGGAGTGAGGATCGGAGTTCCAGGTAAAGAGGTGCTCTGACACGTCGATGGCGAGACCAAGTCCACTAGAGAGATGCTTTGATGTAGGCAAGAGATACAGAGGTAAGAAATGCAGAAAATGAGAATGGTTACTCTGTGGCTCTGGTTGTTGGATCGTCAAAGTAAGAGGGTGAACAGAGAAGGGAGAGATTTGAACGGGCAAACGATGTATGTATAAAGGGAGAAGAGGCGCCAAAATTTGAAACTGAGAAGACGGCGTGGGGCAGCTGGGTTGGCAGCACAAGGCCAATGAGCAAATAACACATGTTTGTGATAAGATCGGTGTCAGTATTGAAGAGTTAGGAAATTCGAAACGTTGACCGAACAAGTGATGGAGCCAAGCAAGGAAGTCAGCACGGTGAGTAAGTCGAGGATGCCGACCGAGCAGATTAGTGGTCTCAGCCAGAGAAGGTAATCCCGGTCACGCTGGCGCGAATGGAATTAAGGAGCAATTGAGAGGGAGATTTCATGAATTGACACTGGGCCGAGCTAGCCTGGACCGAGCAAAGCTGGGCCAAGCGTAGTGACCGAGCTAGGTTCATACGGCTACTGGGCGCGCTCGGTCAGGGCCCCGGTTCGATCCAGTCGAAACAACCTTAGATCGTTAGCCCGGTTAATCATATTCGCTCCGTCGAGTTAGGCTGATATAGTCTTCCATAGATCAGTCCGACCGGGCAGTATCTAGGTTAGAACTAAGAAGGTCAGCTAAGCCGCAGCAGGATCCTCCAGTTAAACCAAACGAATATCACAGTCGTGATGTGGTTACAGTGTGATGGCGAGGAACCATGCTACCCGTTCGCGCCAGAACTGTTTGGCGGTTTTGTTAGGTGGTGTTTAGCTGTATTTGCGCTGACACGTAGGAAAATTGGAGATGAGAGCAGGTCCACGCGTCCAAAGGTGAATGGACGCAGAGGTGCGCGCAGAAGGTATATAAACGACGCTACGCCCCTATACTCAGGTCTGAAACATCTTATGATCACGACTCACCTACCACTTTGCCTCCTCTCTTTTCTCTCTCTCCTTGTGTGCTGACTTGACCGTCGAAGGGTTTTTCGGCAGTACACTGCTGGATAGCTCACCATCATTGTGTTCTCAGGTCGATCGGAGTAAAGTTCAGCTTGGACACGAGGAGTACGGATAGCGACGAATATTTTCTCCCCGTACACATACCATTAATAAGAATTGCGTACATTAGTAGTTAGCTCATGAGCTAGATGAATTACATTTCTTCTTACTTTACGATAGTCAAATTCATTCAACAAAAAATCTTCTGTCCTCAAATAATTCTGTCCCTCTTGTCCTAATTCACTCACAATCATTAAATATATTTTGAGATTTTTATATTTTAAAATTATCATATAATCCAATAATAATGAGTACATTAGGACAAAATAACAAAATTATTTGAAGAAAGAGAATCCTTGCATCTATATTTTACACATTTATCTCTCATGTATTATGCCAATGCAATCACCAGCATCACTTTTCGTTGTAGGGGTATATTTATTACTTATACCTAAGTCATTAGGATTGGTTTGGAAAGTGGGTTGACTTTTAACTTTTTAATTTTTTTGGTTATTTTAGTCTGAGTTAAAAAATTTGATTTGGGAAAGACATTTTAGTTTTTTGACTTTTTTGACTTTTTTTTTGTAAGAGAAGAGTGTAATGATTATGAATTGGATGTGATGTTTTGTTTGTTATGGCTAAAATAGCTTATTTTGTCTTTTATGGCTAAAATAGCTAAAAAAAGCCAACAACCTATCTTCCCAAACAGAATTATAATCTAAAAAGTTAAAAAAATTAAAAATCAACTTTTTACCAATTTTTCAAAACACCACCATGTGATTATGTGACTTGCGTTTTTTAATCAATGCAGCTAAGAAAACACAAAAATAAGACAAGGGTCGTAAAATATTATGATTATTTTCTCAGAATATTTGTTTTCATATTTGATCTATAAAAAATGATTAAAAAAACACGCTTTATAAATAAAAATAATAAAATGATATACATGTTTATTTTTTAAATTCATTTTGTAAAGTCAATGATGTATAAGATGATTAAAAAATAAATGAAATAAATAATTAATTTTATATTTTAATAAAATATCACATCATTAAATTTAAAAAATAAATTTAATTCTATTTTAGACTGAATAGCACTACTCATAAAAATATCATTATCATTACAATTGAATCATCATACAAGTTTATTTCATTTCATACGATTTCTATTTCAATATATTAAACACTTCCTAATTGCTTAAACTCGCATCAACAAAAATGTGACAGATCACGTGGGTTGAAAAATCTTTGAGAATACATCATGTCACCAACTACATGATTTTTAATCCATTCAATCAAACTGATTTGTGTAGAAAAAAACATAATAACTCATATAATTTTGATATATTACTCAAACATTTTTTTAATAAAATTAAAGAAATTGAACTTAATTTAAATGTAGTGAAAATGTAAAGATAAATAAAGTAGAGTACACATTTGAGTGTCAAAGAGACTGACAACATTAATTTTCTATTCATAAAATTAACGAATTATTAATGGAAATGAAACAAAGTGTTGTGTGCAGTAAAAATTTAAGAGACCCTAATGTATTTATGACAAATTGTATTAATATAATTTATTAAAGGGTAAATTATAACGGTAGTCTCTATACATTGATCCTCATGTCATTTTAGTCTTTATAATTCTAATTAACTCAATTTTGACTATGAATTTACGATTTTATCTCAATTTGCTCCAATTGATTACAACTCTTAATAATTTTTTTTTATGAAAAATACGCATATAAGTGGCATATGTCAATTTTTTAAGGGCAAAATTATAAACTTACTCAATTTAGTTAGTTAATCCCAACTAATTTAGTGATAATTTTTTTGTCAAAAACACCAACGATATGATCAATTAAACCAAATTGACACAAAATATAAAATTAAGGATCAAAATTGAATTAGTTGAAACTGTAAGGATTAAAATGACACAAGGAATAAAGGTTTAAAAAAAGGTATAATTTGCGCTTTATTTAATTATTATAACATTATTGAGAAACAAAACACAAAAAAACATATTCATTGAGCCACACGCACATTTGTGAGTTGTGTGTGGATCATCACATATATGAAAAAATAATAATAATAATAATAATAATTTATTCTTTCAGAAATTTTCACTCAAAATTTTGATCTAAATACAATGGATAAAGTGTTACTAGCAATTTTGATCAGCCCAAGTGAACGGGGAAACACATATTATTGTTCTTATTCATGCTGTTACAGGACACTCCAAAAAAGAAAAACAAAAAAACAAAATCAAACCTCAATCTCATGATACTCCTTATTACAACACTTGATTGTCAACATTCCAATAGCCACAAATTCCAAACTCCCATTAACAATTCAAGGAATAAGTTTGTAACCTTTCATTTTGTCAATCCAAGAAATAAGCGAGTTCTTGGTGTTCCTGAACCCCAAGAACCCATGCTCTTTGCTCTTATTCATAGTATCCAAAATGCATTCTCCCCCCAGCATCTCATCCACAAACCACCACGCCGCCACCTCTTCCAACTTCATGGGCAACAACTCATTCTCCCTCACAATCTCCTCCCAAACCTTACCCTTATCCTTCATCTTCTCCACCAAGCTCACTCTCTTCTTACTCTCATCAAATTCCACATATTCCACACCAAATTGCTCAGCCAAAACTCTCCACAATTGCTTCCACCTGAACACATCCCCATTGCTGCAATTAAACGCTTCGTTCTCCGCGTTTGGATCCACCGCCGCCCATATCTGATGCTCCGCGATCAAGTCCGCGTCCGAAGCAACGGAATAGCAATTCCAGGCGGTCTTCGTTCCGGGAAATTCGAGAGGCTTGTTTTCGTATTTACAAATCGCAGCATACACACAGAGAGTCCCGATTATATTCATCATGCTATACGGCGAGAACCCGAAAATGATAGCGGGTCGGTGAACCGACCAGGACAAGGATTCTTTCTTGGAAGTGGAATCGAAGAGGATGTCTTCGAGGGTGTAGTAGAAATTGGGAGCGTTGAGCCTGGGCATGTCCTCGGTGAATGGCGGGTCGTTTGGCTGGACCTTGCCGAGCGATTCGAGGGGTCCGATGTAGTGTTTGAGGCCGGTTTGGAGGCAGATGTGGCGGAGATTGGGGGCGTTTGGGAGGACGGCGTTGAGGACGTTGCGTAGCATGGCTCCGTTGGCATCGCAGCGTTCGGACTCGGTGGGTCGGTTGGTCCAGGTGACGTAGAAGATGTGGGTGATGTCGGAGAGGGGGGAGAGCTTGGAGAGGGTGTCGGCGGAGTCGGAGATGTCGCACTGGATGTAGTCAATGGGGTGGTCGGCGTTCCAGGCGGGGCGGGGGCGGCGAGCGACGCCGTAGACCTTCCATGGGCCGCCGGGGGTGTCGGAGAGAGGGAGGATTTCGGCCAAGCTGTTTCCTACAATGCCGGTGACGCCTACGATTAGGCCTACGCTGTCGTAGCTTCGTGGAGCATCATCGTCTTCGAATTTTTTCTGTAGATAGAGTGAAGACAAAGTTAATTAGAATGAAACATAGGGATTATTGAGAGATGGGTATAGAGAGAGGAGAGAGCGTTGTTGATCATGCCTTTGCAGCGCCTATAGCTCCCGACCACCACCAGCTCATGTTTTTGAATTAGATTTGTTCGACAAGGAAGAGTAACAGAGATGCTAAAAAATTGGAACAAGAGAGATTGAAAAGGCGATACGTAAAATTTGATTCTAGCTGTCAGTCTGTCTATAGGCGAATCGATTCAAGAGTAACTGCATTTGGTTATGACCTGTTGGGTGGAGTTTTTTAAAGTTAAAAATTAATAATTAAAAAGTAGAAATTAAAAGTATGCTGATTTCAGTTTTTAAATAATTAGTTTTTTTTTTTCAGTTTATTTAAGTTATTTTTATCTAATAAATTATAAGGAGAAACTGCACCAAATAGTTTGATACAGATTCCTAAATCAAAATAAGTTATAATCACCTTTAAGAACTGTAACAAACAATCCCTATGCTTGGTTGGAGATATTAGTAAATTGTAAATGAAAATGCTACCTAATATGATCAAAATATGCCTGCAAATTTATTTAGAAATGAGATGGAAAGTATGTATATATATATATATATATATATATATTTTAAATAATGCTATAAATTTATAAAAGTTATTTAAAAAAATTCATTTATAGATTACAATTGTTTTAAGTGTTGCTCATATCTTACTAAATCTATACCATACAATTCGTTTTGGAATAAATTTTCATGGTTTATGGCATATTTTTATTTTTTTAAGATACTTTTATGAGAAAATTTGTTTGGAATGTAGTATTGTTGATTTGTAAGGGCTAATTATAGGGAAGGAAACAAATAAATTTGAAAAAAAAAGAAGAAGAAAGAATTTTGAGTTGGAGACAAAAATTGATTATTGGGTTTCTAAAGAAAAGTGTGTTTCTAATTAATGATTTATTCTATATTTAAAAAAAAAAAAACAACAACAAAATTTTCAGATTATGGAATAATGATAAATACCTCTGCAGCACCAACAGCTCTAGCACACCACCAGCTCATTGTATTAGATTGTTGTAGGTAAAGACGAGAAAGTATGAAAGACAGAAGCAGGTGAAGGGAAATATGAATGACCAAGAAAGCAAATATATGATCTAATTATATATACACCATAATTATTTGAATTGTTTCACTGTCAATCAGGAACGGATTCAAGATTGAGATTTTGAGAAGATATTCTATAATTTAAAAAATTAGGAAAGGTTATTCATTCAAGATTGAGATTTTGAGAAGATATTCTATAATTTAAAAAATTAGGAAAGGTTATTCTATATAATTTTAAATGTATCTAAAAAATATTTAAGTGTACGATTTCTTATAATTTTAAATTATTTTAAAATTTTTAATACCATATATAATATTTTTAAATTTTTTGGGGTGCGATCGCCGCAGCCGGCCCTAGATCCATCATTGCTGTCAATTGAATAATCTAATGAACAAGGGAAAAAAAACTCTAGAGGATCCTTGCTCCAGAAGCAGGTGAAGGGAAATATGAATGACCAAGAAAGCAAATATATGATCTAATTATATATACATCATAATTATTTGAATTGTTTCACTGTCAATCAGGACAGGATTGAGATTTTGAGAAGCTATTCTATAATTTAAAAAATTAGGAAGGGTTATTCTATCTAATTTTAAATGTATCAAAAAAAAATTTAAGTGTACGAATCCTTATAATTTTAAATTATCTTAAAATTTTTAGTATCATATATGATATTTTTAAAAAATTTGGGGCGTGATCGCCCCCAGCCGGCCCTAGATCCATCATTGCTGTCAATTGAATAATCTAATGAACAATATCTGCATCGGAATTGCTAGGGATCTAATAAAAAAAAAAGTGTCCAAAAAATAAAATATATTAAAATTGGTGTGGTATAGGCCCTATGTGGAATAAATTTTGTCCATATATTGTATTTTATGGGTAATTATCCTAGACTAATAATTTTTCATATTTTCTAGACATTATTTTGGATGCATGAATCATATGCACAATTTTTAACTATCGTATAATTTCGGAAGGGTTTTCATGTTTCATAGATGTGAAACCACTTGCATTTAACCATTCTGTATGGATTGCGGATAAGTGTGCTTGTTTAAAATTTATTAATGAGAATTGATTATTTTAATTATTATTATTATTTTTTTATATTTGATAGAAGGACGTGTAAAAAATAAGTTATCATGATGACTTTTCTTTTTTTTTTAAGACTATAAAACAATATTGGCAAACAAAGCCTGAATGATAAGGTTGCAAGTTAACTGTTATATAAAAAAATAAACAATGTTGCTAGAATGATTATCTTTGTATATCACAAAATGCTTGTCATTTCATGATATTGATATTAGACTTGAGTGATGAGACTTGTTAAAGTATTGGAATAACAATGCGAAATTTTAATATAAACCTATTTAAAGAGATATATTATATATATTTTTAAGGGAAATGATTTGTAGCCCTAAAATCCTCATCCCTAATCCCCTTAATTTTCATTTCTGGCAACTGTTTCTTTTTTTTTTTTTTTTCTTTACTTAATATGGAAATTAGGGGGCTTAGGGGGATTTTTTTTAGGGGATGTAGCATGACCCTATTTTTAATTATATTATTTTTTTATTTAGTTATGATCAATTTTTTTTTAATTATGATTTTTAAATTATTTAGTTATGTTTCATATTGTGTTTAGTTATGTCAATTTTTTATTTATTTTTAATTATGATTTAAAACATTAAAATTATATCCTTTATCTTTTTAATTATAAAATGCATAGTATTTCTCCATTACAATATATTTTATAATAAACAAGTATGGTTATTTCAAGCATTATTGAGAAAATAAAAAGACCAAATTGAACCCCCAAGGGTTGACGTAGTGGTGTAGGCTTAGGACTTAGGAGTTTGCTCCTCTCTAGGTCTCAAGTTCAAAACTTCTTAGGTACTATCAATCCTTGTGTTGGACCAATACATACAGAGCTTTGCTTTAGCTTTAAATGGGCCTCCTGCTAGTGGACGGTGGGATTAGTTCCCCAGGAATTCGTCGAGGTGCGTACAAGCTGGCCTGGACACCCTAAGTTATCAAAAAAAGACCAAATTGCTTCAAGGACAAAAATCTATCATAGCACAGCAAGTCACAAGATAAAAACCATGCAATGCAGAAATAAAATTGGATCAAATGTAGGGATGACAATTTGAACCCGGTTTGACGCGGACCCGATCCCCCAACCCTGATTAGAATAGTTTTTTCTCAAAAAATACCCCCGTGGGGACGGGGATAGTATTCGAAATTAAATCCCCGATTAGTTTCGGGCCGGGATGGTGATTAGTGTTCAAGTCCTAGCTCATCCCCGTCCCCGGCCCCGACCCCAAATTTTCCAGAAGTAAAATTACCATTTTACCCCTCTATATATATATATATATAAACCAACCCTTTTCCCTCACACAACACAGCAACACCTCACTTACTCATCACTGCCTCTCGTTTCTCTCTCTCTCTCTAAAATCCTCCGCTGATCTCCATCATTCTCTCACTGCCGATCTCCCTCCTCTCCCTCCTCCCATCACCGTCGAGATTTGAGTTCACTTTTCCCGACCTCCGTCACTATCTCCAACCGTCGATTAAGCCACCGCAACTCCACCGTCTCTTTTTCTTCTCTAACGGCGGTGAGGCCAAGCTTGCCGAATCACCGCCACCATCACCACTATTTGCAGCAGTTGCAGTGACACCATCCGATCCGGTGGTGACCTTAGATTTGGAATTTTCCTTCTCTCTCTCTTTCTCGATTTGTTATATATATATATATTAGATTTGAGCAACAGATCTCTCTCTCTCTCTATGTTGTTGTTGTTGATGATGATGAATAGATCTGTTAGATCTGATTTTTTTTTTTTTACATTTGAGCTCATCAGATCTGTTAATGGTGATGACGATGATGAACATATTTATATGATAATAATGAACATGTCTCTCTCTCTACTATGTTGTTGTTGTTGTTGTTGATGATGATGATGAACAAATCTGTTGAATCTTTTTTTTTTTTTTTTTGCCGGGGAATTTTCGGGGTTGGAGAAACCCGATCTCCGTTAGGGAGCGGGGGTGGATATAGGTTTCCCGTCGGGGATCAGGACGGGAACGGAAGAATTTCCACAGTCGGGGATCGGGAACGGGGGGTGTGATCCCCGGCTCTGCCCAGTTGCCATTCCTAATCAAATGCCTCTGTCATAATGTGATTGTTTCTAAAAAAGGGAATTATAAATGATATGGGAGGACACTTGAATCATGCTTAGGGGGGCCAAACCTCATGGTGATATATTATACATGTGTTAACCTTAATGAATTATGGCCTCGCTTAGAAAGTTAGCTATTTTAATAAATTATTTTAATTTTTAATTATTTTAGTAAATTAAAATATTTGTGTTTCAAAAAAGAGTTGTATTTTTTTAATAATTAGATATGATATTTGTGAGAGAAAAATAAAATGATTTTGAATTTGATGTGACTTTCACCACCCCCACTATTTTTTGATTATATGTATATATATATATATATATATTTGTTTTTTAGCCTAAAAAGTAAAGAAAATCCTTTCCCAAACACTCCTAGTAGAATTTTGGGCAGCTACCACTCCATAATTGAAGAACATAATAACATAAAAAATGTAAAATTCAAGGATTTTTAATTTATCAATGCCGGGATTTCAAAAAAAATTACAAAAAAATTTATACAATATTATAAGAAATTCTACACCAATTATTCTGCAACCATTCATTACTTTTAGGATAAATTACACTAATCTCTCTTGAAATTAAAAAAAATATATATAATAAATCCTATAAGTTTGGCATAATTATACTAGACTCCGTTAAGGTTTTAATTCATATAACATTTGGCTTCATTTTCATTAAAAATTCATTAATCGTATAAATAGAAAAGAGTAAATTACAAAAAAAATTCCAAGATTTTGTGTGTTTTTCAAATTAAACCATAGGGTTTCAATTGCATCAATTTGAACCATGAAAGCTACTTGATTCAATATTTATGCCAATGTGACCTTAACCTAGTTATTAAAAATTGTCTTTATTAGTTCATGATTGGTATGAGCTAGTTTGGAGGTTCCAATATTGGTTTAAATATTAAAAATTAGCTTAGAAAATTTAATTCGAGTCAATTTATTTATTTATTTTATTATATTTTTATAAAAATTCTTAGTTTAAGCCTATAATATTGAGGAGTCATTTTATACACAAAAAATAAACACTAAACTGTACCAATTTCCATAGAATAATGGTAAGTTCATGTATCGATCCACTGGGACTTCATGATTGGTATGAGCTAGTTTGGAGATTCCAATATTGGTTTAAATATTAAAAATTAGCTTAGAAAATTTAATTTGAGTCGATTTATTTATTTATTTAATTATATTTTTATAAAAATTCTTAGTTTAAGCCTATAATATTGACAGGTCATTTTATACACAAAAAATAAACACTAAACTGTACCAATTTCCATAGAATAATGGTAAGTTCATGTATCGATCCACTGGGACAAACGGGAAATTAAACTAATTTAATTGTTAAATTCCTAAATTAATTTTAATGAAAGAGATGACTATTCATAACCTAATGATAATTAAATTAAATAAAGCAAATAAATTAGCAATTATAAGTAAAGATGAAATTACTGATTTTGGTAAAAAACCTAGGGTAATGAATTCATCACTAGTTACATAAATAAAGTTTCAATTTGAAAATCAATTATGTTACAGTTCGAACTAAATAATACTTCGTAACTACAAGTTCAAAGCATTGATCAAGAAAATTATCACGTTCAATGCATGGGCACGAACTATCTCTAGTATAAGTCATTTGCTCTAAACTACGGTAGCAAAACGACTCGTGTCTTGTAGTATGACTCGTCTCATACCTTGAATATGAAAGCACATAAAATCATTACATAGAAAGCATTCAACAATCACAAAAAGTAGAAAACTTGAAGAAATCATGAAAAATTATATTTGAAAACTTTTTGAGAACTATACAACTGTTCAAACCATTACATAAAAGAAAACCAAAAATAAAACATATTTACTTCGCTAGGGTTTCATCAAAACCTTAGAAATA